CAGACAGACAGCATATCTGAAAGAGACTAAGCCAGGCAAGACCCCGATTCCCTTGGAACTCACACCTCGTCTTCTCACAGTTCCTAACTCCATCTGAGCTTTCTGGGCCAGCCCCAGCCTGCCTGGCCCTGCCACTGTCTGCTAGCTCTCTGATATCTTCCAAATACAATTCAACACCCTTCTGTGGAAGTCACTTAGCAAAGCCTAAGTCTCTCAGTCCCTTGCACTGGGACCATCGACCCTGAGCGGACAAGGTCAAAGAGATGGAACTCTGATTTCTTTCCCCAAATCCGTGTGTGCCCCTCTGAAGACTCGGCACTCACAAGCTAAGTTAGTAGCTCCTACAGATTGCATGTATGTTTTCATGAAACTCCTAGGAGCCGTGGGTCTACGGAGACATCAGAGTGTAGAGGGAAACCCTGAACTCAGATGACCTTGCTCTACAAAGCTGCAGCTGAAACAGACATTGCTAGGATCCCAGTGAAGCTGCTGAGCCAACGCCCAGGTCTCACGCCATCTTTACCCTCGTCTCGCTCCTCAGTGCGGCCGTAGAACACAAGCCTGCAAGAGATGTTAACTGTTTCTACACTGCTCTGTGAAATCCAGTCACAACCCAGATGTGCTATGCCCTTCTGGATTCCTTACCAGGTAGGGGACCCCAAGCTGAAGGACAGTCACTTGTGAGTGAGTACCAGGGAAGGCCACTGTCTCTAGCATGCCAGCTCCAAAGCTGAGACAGGAACCAGGGTGCCTCTATTAGAGGCCCTGCACGTCATATCTGGCCCACAGGCTGTTCCTCTTTGTGTATCATTAGTAACTAACAAAGTGACTGCCACACTTCCCTGAAGGCTGCCAAAGGAACAGAAAAAGCAATGGCTAGGGTCCAGTCCCTCGTCTTTGGTACTCCAAAGAGGCAGGCATGGTGACTGCAGGCACATGCAAGGCTCTAACATGACAGCTGTGCAGAGGAGACCTGGAACCAGACAACGGGGAGGAAAGTGCCTTGACCCGAGCGTGCAGGTGTGTCTCCTAGAAAGAGGCCTTACCTGAGTCCCCACTGTCCCTTAGTCAACTTCCCAAGAACAGAATAAAAAGGGAACTTCCAAGGCTGCTAAGGTCGGGGGTTCCCACCCCACTTTTAGCTGAGGGCACTGAGGCAGAGCGGCGCCTAGGTGCTGCCATCTGGGCATGAATTAATGGTTACTAGAGATTCACAACGTCTGGGAGCCTGTACAGGGGGCAGGAGATGGCTGCGGATGAGAACAGCCTGGACAGACACAGCCACTTACCAGAGGACCTCAGGTATTATAGCCCACGGGACCCTGAGCCAAAGGGTTTGCCTAGGGAGAAGGGATTAAAAGGTCACAAGGTCCTGGATGGGGAAGGGGACACCTGGGCTGCCTTCTAACGTGGACAGAGCCTCTTGGTCATTGAATGTCCTTCGGCTATCCCTTCCCTGCATTCAGGCACACCGATATTAGAAACTGCTACCGCTATCCACAAAGACCGGGGACTGTGGAGACAGGGCTGAACCAAGATAAACTGAAGATGTCATGAGAAGCTAAAAAAAAAACCCAGGAGCGGTTGGATAGGAATCTGCCTGCAAACCATCAGGACAAGGATGCAATGACAAATGACAGCAAGGAATTGCCCTGTGACGAACTAACAACAAAGAGGACTGTCCACAGCTGGGCTGACCTGGGCCAAACTGGGCTAAGTTGGGTGGGCTGGAATGAGCTGAATTGGCCTGGACTGGTTTGGGCTGGACTGTCCTGGAGTAGGCTAAGCCAGCTTAAACTAGGGTAGTTTAGACCGAGCTGGATCAATCTGGGCTAGACTAGTCTGAACTGGGTTAAGCAAGGCTGGGCTGGGCTAGTATGAACTGGTCTGAGCTTAACTAAGCAGGGCTGGGCTGAGCTGGGCTGAGCTGGGCTGAGCTACACTAGCCGGGCTGAGCAAAGTTGTACTGGGCAGGGGTGGGCAGGGCCGAGCTGATTTGGGATGGGATGGGCTAGCTGGGCTGGGCTGATTTTGACTGGGCTGGGCTAGATTCACCAGGCCTAAGCAGGTCTAACTGGCTTTCCCTAGGTTTAGCTAGGCAAGACTAAGCTGGGCCGGGCTGGGCTAGGCTGGACAGGGCTGGACTGAACTAGATGGGGTATATTCAGCTGAAATGGGTTGGTCTGATCTGAACTGAACTGGACTGAGCCGGGCTAGCCTGAGCTAGATGGGGGTATACTCGGCTGAGACAGGCTGGTCTGGCTAGACTGAACTGGACTGGCCTTGACTGAGCTAGGCTGACTTGAGCTGGTCTGGTCTGGTCTGAACTGGGCAGAGCTGGTCTCAGCTGGACTACACTGAGTTAACCTGGGCTGGACCAGACTGGGCTGAACTAGGTTGCACTGGCTGGGTTAGACTTGGTTGAGCTGGACTTGGCTGAGCTGAGTCAAGAGGGTCTGGGTTGAATTTGAGTTGGGCTAAACTAAGCCAAACTACACTGAACTAGGCAAGGCTGGGCTGGAAAGGACTGGGTTAAGTTAGGAGGGACTTGGCTTGGCTGAGCTGGGCTGAACTAGGCAGAGCTGGGCCAAGCTGGGTCGAACTGGGTCAAACTGGGCCAAGCTGGGATAAGCTGGGCTGGACTGAACTGGACTGGGCTGGGCTGAACTAACCTGAGCTAGCCTGAGCTGGGCCAAGCTGGGCAGAGCTGGGCTGAGCTGGGCTGAGCTGGGCTGAGCTGGGCTGAGCTAGGCTGAGCTAGGCTGAACTGGACTAGACTGGGCTGGGCTGAGGTAACCTGAGCTAGGCCAAGCTGGGCTGAGCTGGGCTGAGCTGGGCTGGACTGGACTGGACTGGACTGGACTGGACTGGGCTGGGCTCGGCTAACCTGAGCTGGGCTGAGCTGGGCTGAGCTGAGCTGAGCTGGGCTAGACTGGACTGGACTGGACTGGGCTGGGCTGGGCTGGGCTAACCTGAGCTAACCTGAGCTGGGATGAGCTAATCTGAGCTAAGCTGAGCTGGGTTGAGCTAGGCTGAGCTGGGATGAGCTAACCTGAGCTGGGATGAGCAAACCTGAGCTAAGCTGAGCTGGGCTGAGCTGGGCTGAGATGGGCTGAGCTAACCTGAGCTGGGATGAGCTGGGATGAGCTAACCTGAGCTGGGCTCAGCTAACCTGGGCTGGGCTGGGCTGAGCTGAGCTGGGCTGGGCTGAACTGGGCTGAGCTAACCTGAGCTAGACTGAGCTGGGTTGAGCTGGGCTAAGCTGGGCTGAGCTAACCTGAGCTGGGCTGAGCTAACTTGAGCTGGGCTGAGCTAACCTGAGCTAGGCTGAGCTGGGCTGAGCTAGGCTGAGCTGGGCTGAGCTAACCTGAGCTGGGCTGAGCTGGGCTGAGCTAACTTGAGCTGACCTGAACTAGGCTGAGCTGGGCCGAGCTGGGCTGGACTGGGCTGAGCTGGGCTTGGATGAGCTCAGTTGGACTAGGCTAGGCTATCTTGAGTGAACTGGGCTAAGCAGGACTAATCTGGCTTGATCTGAGCTAGGCTGAGCTGAGCTGAGTTTAGCTTGGCTGAGCTGGGCTAGACTGGGCTGGACTGGACTGTATAGAGTTACACTGAGCTGAGTTGGTCCTGTCTGAGCTGGGTTGGGCTGGTCTGAGATGAACTGGATTGCACTAGACTGAGCTTATCTGGACCTGTCTGAGCTAGGCTGCATTGGGCCAAACTGGATCACTCCAGACGGAGCTTAGCTCCCTGGGCCAAGCTAGATTAGGTGGACTGATCTGGGCTGAACTAGGCTAGGCTAGGCTGAGGTAGGCTGGGATGTGCTGGATTGAACTAAACTGAGCTCAGCTGGGGAAGGTTGAGCTACCCTGAGCTGAGTTAGACTGAGCTAGGCTGAACTGGGCTGGCCTGAGATGGACTAGATTGAGCTGGGATGAGCTAGAATCACTGTTCTAGTCTGATCTGGGCTAAGGTTGAGCTCTACTAAGCTAAGAAGAGTTGAGCTGAGGTGAACTAGGCTGAGTTGGACACTTCTAGACCATTCTAGGCTGTTCTGGGTTGACCTGAACTGGGTGGAGTTGAGCTGAGTTGGGGTAACCTGTGCTAAGCTCTGCCAGGCTGGGAGAGTTTATTGATTGAGCTGGGACAGTCTGTGGTGGACTGGCCTGGGCTACACTAAACTAGGCTGAGCTAGGATTGGCCTGGCTAGGAAGAGTTGAACTAGGCTAAGCTAAGTTGTTCTGGACTAGGCCAAACTAGCGGAGGTCTTTTGGTCTAGCTGAACTTTCTGGTGCTGAACTGAATAATGTTTAAGATAGATCGCTCGAAATTATTTGTGGGTGTTCTGTCCTCCAAAAAGGTTGTCCTGTTGTAGGACACAACAACAGCTACCAGCTAGACTGGGTAGGTAGAGCCAATCAGGCTTAGCAGAGATAGCCTATGCCTTCTGGGGGCCTGGCACAGAGCTGAACTGGGCCCCAGGCTCAGGAGAATGTCATGGGCGTGTGTGCACCCTAAAGCAATTCAGGCAGCCAACAAGGTGACTTCTGAAGTGGTTGTGTTCTCTAACTCTGTGCTGTCTGGGATCCACGGAGGTCATCTGGGAAGCAAAACGCTACGCAGATTAGGCTACGGTAAAGCAGAGAGCCTCACGTGTCTGAGAGGTTGAGGCCAACAGCCCTAGGAAACAAGAGTCTCACAGTTCTGTCCTCAGTGTGTCTCAGAACAGACTTAATGTGACTTACCAATGAACTGGTGGTCCTGGGAAAGCTCTCAATCCCCAGGCCCCAAGAGTCGGGACAGAAGAGACAATGGCAATTCATTGGATCTCTGGGTCCCCAAACCCTGTGAGGTACCTGTGTCCTGGACTTAAAAGACAGCCTAGTCCCTCTGCCAACATCACACAGCCTACCTTAAAGCTCCTCTATTCATCCTGAGGCCCTAATGACTCCCAGTCTGCCACCCAGCCCATCTGCTTCATTTATGGACATACCCTAGTGATGTCGCAAAATTTCCCAATCAAGAAAGAGGGCAAGTTTGGCTCTTCCTCCAAAGCTCATGCCCAGCTCTCCTGGAAGCCCCTGTGCAAAGCCAGCTAGGGACAGTGAATAAGCAAAGCGTGTCAGGGTGTAAGGAATCAGGGGGATCCCTGGGTCTGTGTTTGGGTTTAGAGAATGAAGACCAGACCCAGAAAGAGTCTGACCATCTGTCTCCTAGATTTGGAATAGGGTCCCCAGAGCCCTGCTCCTGTCACAGCTGTCCTAATCAGTCCCCCAAGCTGCAGGCATTCAGTAATCTAAACAAGTCTAACCTGGGTCCTGTCTCACAGCCTCTGTCAAGCAGCCTTCACTCTACGCCTTGAAGCCCTGTAAAGAAGACACTGCTTTCATGACAATGGGTTGCCTGGTAAAGGACTACTTCCCTGATCCAGTGACTGTGACCTGGTATTCAGACTCCCTGAACATGAGTACCACGAACTTCCCTGCCCTCGGTTCTGAACTCAAAGTCACCACCAGCCAAGTGACCAGCTGGGACAAGTCAGCCAAGAACTTCACTTGCCATGTGACACATGCCCCATCCTCATTCAACGGGAGTATGCCTATCTCAGGTAAGTAGGGCTGGGCTGGCTACATTTACCACAGTGAAAGAACATGATCAGAGCAGGAAGGACCTCTCATACATACCTATGACAGAAGGGTAAAGGACCCAACATACTCAGGAGACTGAGCTGAGGCCTGAGGGAACACAAGGCTGGGGAGATACTCACAAACTCACTGCCTCTGCCCTAGTTCGACGTGTCAACATCACCAAGCCTACCTTGAAGCTACTCCATTCATCCTGCGACCTCAATGCATTCCACGCCACCATCCATCTGTACTGCTTCATCTATGACCACATCCCAAATGATGTCACTGTCACCTGGCTGATGAACAATCAGAAGATACCCGACACAAACGCACAAAATTTCCTCATCAAGGAGGAAGGCAAACTAGCCTCTACCTACAGTAAACTCAACATCACCCAACAACAATGGATGTCTGAAAGAACCTTCACCTGCAAGGTCACCTCCCAAGGCGAGAACTATTGGGCCCACACTCAGAGATGCCCAGGTAGGCCTACATCCACCTAATGCCCAGACCTCAGAGTTCTGAGGGAAAGACAGGGTCTCTCACATAGCCCTTCCTCTCTCTCACAGACGATGAGCAACGGGGTGTGACTACCTACCTGATCCCACCCAGCCCCCTGGACCTGTATAAAAAGGGGACCCCCAAGCTTACCTGTCTAGTGGTAGACCTGGAAAGTGAGGAGAACGTCACTGTGACGTGGACCCAAGAGCACAAGAAGTCTGCAGGCTCAGCAATCCAGAAGTGCATCAAGCACCGGAATGCCACAACCAGTATCACCTCCATCCTGTCAGTGGATGCCAAGGACTGGATTGAAGGTGAAGGCTATCGGTGTACAGTGTCCCACCCTCAGTTTCCCAGGTCCATTGTGCGTTCCATCACCAAGGCCCCAGGTGAGCACAGGAGATGGAGGGTGGGCCAGCCCTTCTTCATGTTCAGAGAACACGGTTAACTGGTTAACTCATGTCTGCCCACAGGCAAACGCTTAGCCCCTGAGGTATATCTGTTCCCACCACCAGAGGAGGAGAAGAAGGACAAACGCACACTCACCTGCTTGATCCAGAACTTCTTCCCTGAGGATATCTCTGTGCAGTGGCTGCAGGATGGCGAGCTGATCCCAACCAGCCAGCACAGTACCACAACACCTCGGAAATCCAATGGCTCCAATCGGGGCTTCTTCATCTTCAGCCGCCTAGAGGTCACCAAGGCGCACTGGACACAGATTAAACAGTTCACCTGCCGAGTGACCCACGAGGCACTTTGGGAACCCAGGAATCTGGAGAGAACAATATCCAAGAGCCTTGGTAACGCCTCCCCCCGTCCCTCCCAGGCCTCTGTGTAGCTGTGGTGGAGAAGGTGGATGGCAGACATCCACTCACTGTTGTAACACCAGGAAGCCACCCCCAATAAACACTCAGTGCCTGATTAGAGCCCTGGGTGCCCTTCTTGGGGGGAGGGTAGGTTGTGGGCAGAAGCATCTTGGCATGGAAGAAGGGACACCCCAAGAGAGAGATAGGAGTGAAGTACAGCTCACCCATCTGTCTGTGTTGGGTATTTGACAAATGAGACGTCACAGGGCTTCAGCATAGGTGCCCCTGGTCCTTCCTGCCCTTCGCTGTATATCATGCACCTGAAAGGGGTCCAAAGAGTCAGAGAGGTGGTCTCTAGAGATGTAACTAAAACAAGTCAGCCTGGGAGATCTCAGTACCCAGTCCTCAATCTTGCAAGCTCCTCCTCCCAGGTATTCCTGGATACTAGAACTCCTTCAGGTAGGGGAACAGCCAAAGTCAACATCTAGGAAGGCAAGACTCGGCACGGTCTTGCTCCTTCTCTCTGTACTCAGCAGCCACTGAGGCTGAACCCACAGCCATGACCACCTGCCCTGCCATATCATCATACCGGGCCCGGATCAGAATCTGGTGCTCCCCATCTTACTGTCCAGCCTCACTCCAACTCAAATTCATCCCAAGGACCAGAATAGGCTGCCAGCTTCACATGGTCACGTTCCCCCGTCTATGCCATGTTCACATGCACGCTCGTGCTCACGCACACACAGAGTCACAAACACTCAGGTTACCAAGCCTTAAGGCGACTCCACCAACAGCACACACTTGCAGCCACCTGACACAGCAGCACACCTCACCCATGCTCATGTGGCCTGCGCAGGGCTTCCCGCTACCCTCTGCTAGCTCAGGCTAGTTCCAGTCCTTTACTTTTTACACTTGAGTCCAAAATAGAAACCGAAGACTTACACCTTGATCGGGAAACCAGTGTCTTCCCCCTGTGACCTCAACCTCCCAGATCACACTTCCTTACCTTCTAAAACCCTAAGAGAGTCATATACACCCACATGAACATGTACACACACACACACACACACACACACACACACACACACACCTCAGGTAGGCTTCATCATGCGCTCTGGTTTAGCAATAGCCCAAAGCAAGCTATACATCCATCCCAGGCCCAACAGGATGAAGAGGTCAGAACCAAGTTACACCCATCCTATGCCCAACAACCAGCACATGTGGCTCACGCGCCTGAGACCTGTGGCTCCCATCATACACACACACACACACACGTGCACATGAAGGAGCCCACAGACACCTACCATATCAGCCTTTGAGTCTGAGATACCTCTGAGGATCACCAATGGCAGAGTCGACCAGCACCTTGGCCTCCAGACCAATCCTTCCACTTTGGCCCACGCCAGGCCATGAGAAACTGAGGAGATCAGAGGCCTGAGCTGAAGGAAAGCAGAGACAGGAAGATGAGCTGTATGGAGAGAGAAGTAAACCAGACAACAGAGAGACTAAGGCAGGAGTAGAGCCCTTACAAGGCCCCGAGTCTGCTTTAGAGTCCATGTGCCCTGACCTGCACCTCAGATGCCACAGCCAAGATTCCTGGAGCCAGAGCATGCATGCAGGCCCTAGAAATGGACCAATGGGCTCAGAGCCCTTCCTGAAGGGCCCTGAGCACTCTCTGAACACAAGGCAATTCTATAGGCTATGTAGAGGCATCCTGTTGCCAGAAGACGCTAAGACAGTGAGATACACACACACACACAACACACACAACACATACACACAACACACACACAACACATACACACACAACACAGGTAGACTTCATGCTCTCTACTTTAACAATAGCCCTGTTGATGGTGGGGAATACCAGGTCACTGTGAGCACTGGAATAGAAAGAGGGAATGAACAACTTGGGGGGGGGAGAACATCTGCCTCCGGGGCTGGACAGAGACTTGGGGTGGTCCCAGAACAGGTAGTATGGGAACCTCTCCACTCCAGCTTCATCAGGACTGCCTGAGACCAGTGTGGGATCTACCCCTCCCCCATTGTCACCTGGAGTCTGGGGAAGCTAACTGGCTGGTCCCCCCCCACCCCAGAGCTAGACCTCCAGGACCTATGTATCGAAGCAGTGGAGGGCGAGGAACTGGAAGAGCTGTGGACCAGCACTTATATCTTCATCGCCCTGTTCCTGAGCAGTGTGAGCTACGGAGCCATTGTCACCATCCTCAAGGTGGGATCCTGCACCCCAGCGGGTGGGTCGGGGAGGGCCAGGCCAAGCCACAGAGCCATCCTCACATACGCCTTTCCCCCAGGTGAAGTGGGTCTTCTCCACACCGGTGCAGGATACACCTCAGACCTTCCAAGACTATGCCAACATCCTCCAGACCAGGGCATAGGCGCGCTGCCACCACCCATGCAGGCCTGCAGCCATGTGTGTCTGAGCCTCCTGAGGTGCCTATTTGCCCTGAGTGTTAGGAGGGAGTGGAGATGCCCCTCAAAGCCACCAGAGTTGATGAGATATCAGCACCCAGAAAGTTGCAGCTCAAGGCACCAATGTGGACTGTCTTACACGAATACTTTGAGACAAGACAGAGGAACATCTGTCCTTCATCAATTTGATCTACCAGATGCTGGTCACCTGGGCTCACCCCAGGTCTATGGGCATCAGGGTCACTCCATTTTGACTAAATAACCACAAAAACACAAGAACCCAGAGCCTAGAGTTCCCACTAGGCCTCATCTAGAGCACAGAGTCAAACTGCGACACTCAGAATCAACCCTAGGGCCACAGGCTGGCTCCTCGGAAGGAATTCTGCCCCACCCCCTCCAGACAGAACCCAGCCTTTCCCTACAGCCCTTTATCTCTGAAGAATAAAGAGACAGATGAGCCTTCAGGGATGGGGCTGCAAAACTGAAAGGAGTACTCAGACCTCTGCAGGAAAAGGAGTCTCCCACAGGGCAGCGGCAGACTCCAGCCCCATCAACACCAGCCCCAGCCTGGCAATCCAACTTTATCTCTGTGCTCCTTAGTAAAGCTCTTTTCCATAACTCCTGAGAGTACTCTGAGAAGGTATTTAAGGCCACCATTGTGATGACAGGTCCCAAGAACATGGACAAGGACCAGATGGTGAAAAGCATGGGGGGTGGGGGGATCAAGCAGCTACCTCTGTGTGATTCTCCTCAAAGCTCAGAGTTCTGGCCCAGTCTCCACCTGGCCCGTCATTCCTGCTGACTTCCTCCCAGACTCACCTCCCACTTCTTAGGCTGATGTGAAGGGCAAAGCCAGGGGAGCTAATGGTGGAATCAGGGCTGGGCCCCTGGTTCCCCTGGTGGGAACCTGGCTGCAGGTCACTATTCGTGACCATGACTTGTCCACTCACTAAGTGCTGACTGACAGGCCAGTCCCCTGACTCCAGCTAGGATAGCTGAGGGACTAGGTGATGGCACACAAGTATTCAAGAGCCATCCGAAGCTGGTGGTGGCCATCCTTGGGACATGAACTCACATGACAAAAGACAGGCTTCTCTCATATGTAACGATTGCTCGGGAACTAAGAAGAAGAAAGACCTCTTTACAGGATGGGAAAACCCAGTAGTCAGTGGGCTTTCCTGCAGAAAATTCTTCAACGGTGAGAAAACTTCTAGTAAGGAGGATGCTAAGGTGGGTGTGGCCCTACTGGGCCCTGGGTAAAGAAAGGCATGAGAACCACTTAAACCATTTTAAGGGTAAGGTGATCAAACACCCTCGTCATCACAAGTGGTGACAGTCTCACAAGGAGATCCACACTGGAGTGTCAAGCTCAGTACCATGGGACTTTGGAGGAAACTAAGATAGAGATAAGCTGGCCAGGACCAGTCAATAGCCCCCAGGCGTGTGAGTCATCTGCTGTGGAGTCCAGCTTCTACAAGACTCAGAGAAGGTTCCAGATGGCAAAGGCACAGAGAGCCACCCCTACTAGGTGCAGAAGACCCAGGACTGGGAGGATGATTGTTCTGATGGGAGGACCCTACTCAGGATGTGTCCCAAACCCCATCCCTTGCCAGCTCACTAACATATGCATTCATCCCTCACAAACACCATTACTAACAATCAAATGTATGTCAGACACACAGTCACATAGTTTGTGCAGACCCACTCATGTGGCAGACATGCATGCGTGTGAGTACACACACACACACACACACGATACTCTAAAACACAGATCTGCTCAGTCTCCTACTCAGACACACACTATCTCAAGAAGCCCAGGCTTTGACTGCATAGGGGTTGATGTCAAAAGTATCCCCTCTCCAGGAAAAAGACATCGGGATGGGTATGGACCTCATGCCTCACTGGACAACAACAGGGGAACCGGAGCCATTACAAGGTTCCCTTCAATTACTGGAGATCAGTCCTCTATCCCTGCCTCCACAAGATTAGAATCGCCACAGCCCTTCTATACTTAGAGAAGGGAGGAGATGTCAGGGGCAGCCCTGATTGCACACTGAAGGCCTAAAATCAGCCATAGCTGATACATAGCATAGCCTGTTATACATGCATGCTAACACAAAGTCTTGGGTCTCTGTGGAAAAACATTGAAACAGATGGCTATAAGCTATTGCAAAGAGGCAGCTTTTGTAGAAATTTACCAGCCTGAGTAGTCATAGACCTTGTAAATAGGTAGCCTTGGCAGATAACACCAATTTAGATAAGGACAAGTGAATCATAGTCAGAGTCATAGTGACCTGTCCCCTGAACCTTCACCCAGCCGATACCCTGTTCTGAAAGATATCTGTATTCCCCCTGAACACCCACGCTCCAGTGTCATCCCCTTCCCCACGTACTGCCTTTTTGTGTTTATAACCCCTGTGTTAATAAGTAAAAATTACGATTTGAAAAAATTAATTAGGCTGGGCAGTGGTGGCGCACGCCTTTAATCCCAGCACTTGGGAGGCAGAGGCAGGCGGATTTCTGAGTTCGAGGCCAGCCTGATCTACAGAGTGAGTTCAGGACAGCCAGGGCTATACAGAGAAACCCTGTCTCGAAAAAAAAAACCCAAAACAAAACGATTAGTTAATTA